ACCAAAGTCGTTAAAGTTTTCCTGGTTTGATGTCGAAGGATTTAGAGGCATCGAAAGTCGCCGCAACATCAAAAGCTTCGTAAGTTTCTGGAGTTGGACTCGTAGGATTTATCCCGACTTAATCAAAGTTTTCTTCACAAATTTGTCCTTTGAAGGTTCCACCTTGAAAACCCAAGTTAAAGGTGTGGACATTGAGATTACTCCTAACATCCGGAAGGAGGTTGCTGGTTTAAAGGATTTAGGAGTGAAAGTCACCAAAGGGTGTACTTCCGATGTGGAGGAATTTAATAAGGTTCAATATTTTCGGTCATGCATGAAGAATAGGCATGACTCGTCACTGCTCAATACCGGGAAACTAAAATTGGAAGAAAGGTTGCTTGCCTCGCATTGTGTCTTGGCAGCTCACTCCGAGGGGGAGCAATCATGCGGTGCTAAATGAGGGAGATTTAGTACTAATGTATTGCATTCACCACAGGATTCGGTGAACTGGGTTTTTGTCATCAAAGACCACATGATCAAGGCAAAAAGACTCGTGATTTCAGTACCCATATGCTATACCGATTTCCAAATTTTTAACATATTTTGGTGTTGATCTTGAAGGAGAACTTGTCGAGACAGCTTCGTTCAACAAACGAAATAAATAACTCTATGCTTCACAAAATGGGATTTATGAAAGTTGATGGTGAGTGGGTCTCCAAGGAGGATGCCGGAAGAGATGAAGAAAGTGATAAAGATGGACAAGAGGAAGAAAATATCAACACCGATATTCCCGGCACTTCTAGAGCTCATCCATCCGATCCTATGGAAGAAGTGATCCCGCTGGAGATGATTCCATATAATCCACCCCCGACCGTGGCACACCTCTCGTCACGCTTGAAAGAACAATGTCGCAAAGAAATGAATCAACTTCAAGCCGATCAAAGGAGGCATATGAATATGACTACAGCCTATAAGGGCTCGACAACACTATTTGGATGAGAATTTTATTGCAAGGTTCCAAGACATCGATAATCAACTTGAAGACATTTACAACAGGATTGTGGAATTGCAATTCAACCAAGGCCCCGGGACGAATGAAGATTTTCTTTTGTTTCTCGTTATTCTGTTTTCTTTTCTCGCTTTTTAATGTTCTCCATTGGACTCAGTATCCATGACAATCTATTTGATGCAGTCAAATAGGGGGAGAATTATTTTGATTAAAATCGCCACTACACACACACCACATCACAAATTATATGTCTCTCGGTTTGCATGTCTCTCGGTCCGATTTTATGCAGTGCAAGTGGTTATTTGTCTCCATCAAATAGGGGGAGATTGAAGCACTTGGTGGACTTGGTGGATTTGATGAAGACTTAGATATAATTTGATGAAGACATAAATTTAGTTTAGGTTGTGGGTGTGTAGATGATTAGGTTTTTAGCTTGAGCACTTAATCCCTTGATAGGCCATTATATGTTGTGATGAAGCGCCTTAATCTTTCGCATAGCATTGAAAATCATTTTCTCGCATTAAAAGAACAAACTAAGTTTTTCAATCTGTTGAAAAAGATTTTCAATCGGTTAAAATCACTTAACGTAATAAGTGGTTCTATATAATCGTATTTTCAATTGATTGATTTGCAGTAATCAACAAGTTAAAATAACTTAGTAAATTCCTCAATATGAAGGTTTCTGAAAAACAATCAATTGAAATACTTTTTAATCTGTTGAAAAAGAAAGATATTTTTCAATCTAAGAATTTTCTAAAAACAATCAGCTTGAAACATTTTTCAATCTGTTAAAATAAAGATATTTTTTAAGTCTAAGAGTTTTTAGAAAATCAATCTGTTGAAATATTTTTCAATCTGTTGAAACAGAGAGACTATTTTTTTAACTAAGTATTTGCAGGAATTTAATCTGTTGAAATGTTTTTCAATCGATTGAAACAGAGTGTCGTCATTTTTCATTAAGTTGTTTTAATCCATTAAAACTCGAATCAATCGATTAAATGGAACTTTAAATGAAATCAATCGATTGAATCGATGTCTTAATCGATTAAAAGGAACTTTAAATGAAATCAATCGATTGAATCGATATTTTAATCGATTGAAATAACATTCTGATCGATCATAGTTTCATTCTAATCGATCATAACTCAGTCTGATCGATCATACTTCAGCTTCTAATCGATCATAACTCTGCCTGATCGATCATACTTCGCTTCTAATCGATCAGATTCTCTTCTAAACCTGCTTTATCGCTAACCAACTTATCTTTTGACTCTCTAAAACAGCTTTTAACAGATGAAACGTTCGCTTTTTCTGATTTACTCTATATATACAGATTTGATCCATCTTTTGAATATACAATACAACACACTACTTGAGAAAACTTGAGAAATCAATTTGTGAATCGTTCATCTACGTTTTTCTCTCGCATTCAAGATTTTGTCATATCATAAGGTGCTTTGATCAACATTGTGGTCATTCACAACGAGAGAGTGCTTTAGAATTGGTGTCGGGCAATTAGAATTCAAAGTCCAGGTTTCTTCTTTCCTTATTCTTTTGTATCGTGTGAATTGTGTAAATTGGATTGTAATCTACACTTGGTACAAGAATCGGATTTGGTTATCGGGTGTTTTTCAAGATTCTATCTTATAGGTTGAAAAGATAGTTCTTGGTGTAGATTGGTGAGGATCTACGGGTTGTAATTGTCACTTGGTATTAGTGGAAACTTGACAGTTTTGTCAAGAACTGGACGTAGCTCTGGATTAGAGTGAACCAAGATAAATTTGTGTGTTGATTTCTTTCTATCATCTCTTTTAAATTCTGAATATAATCTTGTCGTGTTTTAAATCAAATCATCTTTTCAAGAATTGAATAAAGATAACTCATTCTTCCAAAAGAAAGTAAAGTTTTGTGAAAAAGTTTTTAAGTTCAATTCACCCCCCCTCTTGAACTTAACCATTAATTCTTTCATCAGTGACTGAATTTTTCAGTCACTAATTTCGGTCACTATTTGGTGTTTTTCTAGTAGTAACGGTGCCTACAATACTTTAAATTCAGGGGTAAAGTATTTCAGAATTTCAGTTTTATTAGTAGAGATTCAAGTTAGATTTATCATTTGGATGAACAGTTACGGTATGAAATATCAATTTATTTTGAAATAGATTAAGAGAAATTAATCAAAGGTTTATATATGTTTTTTGTCTTTGAAATTTAGGGTTATTTTGATTCTAATTTCTTGAATTGAAAAAATATTTTAATTCTTCAAAATATAAAAATATTAATTTAGTTTTTAAACATTAAGTTCGAAGATTAAAATCAGTATTTTAAAATTATATATATATATATATATATATATATATATAATATAATATAATGTTAACTTTTTTATAAAGATATATACTCGAATGACGTGGTTAAATAAAACCATATCACACTCGAATGCTTATTTATTTATTTATAGTTATAACATTTTTAATTCTTGAAATTGAAATTATGCTAATATGGTTAGATTAATACATAAATTAAATATTTTTTATCTACTAACTTTTCTTTTATTATTAATTTAAAAATCATAATAATTATACCTTTATAAAGATGGTATTTCAGTACATAGATAAAGAAAACTATCGGTGAATTTTTGTTTGATTATTTTTATTTATATATTTTGAATGTGTAAATATTAAACCTACAAATAAAAACCACACATACTTTAAAAATACACGATGATAATTTTATGACACTTCTAATTAATGAGTCCTTACACTCAGCATATAATTTTTTTATTAAAAAAAATCAAATAATATTCATTAGTTTATGTTAAATTATATGAAATATCAAGTGCATCCAATCATTTCATTTTCATGAATATGTTAATAACGAGTCTCAAGTTGATAATTTATATACTTTCATCCTTTATTACATCTTTTAAAATTAAAATAATAATAAATAAGAGTTTTAAAATTAATAATATATTGGAGATAAATATACTTTAAATTACCTTTGAATTTTTTTTCCTACTGAAATGAAAAAGAATTAAACTACAAATCTTAACATAATTAATATCAAAAACATGCTTTATCATCTTTAATTCTGATAAAAAAATTTATTGTTCTTATTAAATTTTAACTGATAAGTTTTATACATGAATGAATAATTATGGTTTAAAAAAAAAACTCTTTTATATGTAAAGGAGTCAGTTTCCATAATTATTATCCATAAAAAAATTATTCAACTATAGTTTTTTAGTTTTATTTCACTCAAAAATAAAGATAAACCTAATGTGTCTATAAGCCGACCAAGTTGACTTGTCGACTTTTGCTTTGTTACCATAAACTTTGTGGACCCTTGTAATTAAATCCTATTATTCTTTTAAACAAAATATTATATATATATATATATATATATATATATATATATATATATCATATACTTGTTTTAAAATTTCACCAATCTATTTATACCTTTTTAAAACAAAAATATTTTATATTTCTTTGAAGAGTAAAGCATACTAAAAACATATTTATTGTACAATTTTACTTATTAACATATCACTACAAACTATTACTGATTAATAATGGCAAAAAAAAAAAAACTTATTAGAAATCATTCAACAACTATGTTTTAACAAGAAAATTTACTCTTTTTTCTGATTAAAAGAATTTAAGAGAAGAGATTTATTTAAAGCTCTATCATTTTGGTAATTCCACCTTTGTGAACATATCTTGCATGGAAGATTGATCACTTGTTGTTGTCATTATGTTTTAAAATTTTGGTGAGAAAAGAATTGATCTTTAGCATCATAAGTGAAAAAAAAAAGGAAAAAAGAAAACCATTTTGACTCTATTATTAGTGTCCAAACTTGTCATCTTAACAATTTTGTGGCATTATAAATAAATTACCCATTGAAGCCTCTTCTCTCCGTATCTCAAACTCAACACTCTTGTTTTGCTCAAGCAAAAACCACCAACCTTGCCTTTCTCTTTCTCTTCTCTCTTCTCTGCAACACCCTTCAGCCATGGAAGGAGGTGTGCCTGAAGCTGATATCTCAGCTTTCAGAGAATGTTTATCTCTTTCATGGAAGAATCCTTATGTTCTTCGTCTTGCTTTCTCTGCTGGAATTGGAGGTCTTCTTTTTGGTTATGACACTGGTAAATAACAAAAAGAATCTAAGTTATCATACTCCATTTTAACCATTGTCTACTTCTCTCTAAAAACAAAAAAATAAAACCATTTTTTCTTTTCTTTCTCCGTCATCACATCTTGTTCTGTTTTACCAGTTTCTAATAACTCACATAAAAACAACCCTTCTCTCTGTTTCTCACCCTCTCACCATAACTACACCTTCATCTCCATGCTTTTTTTCTAGATTCTAACCACAAAATCACTAAACTATAAAGAGTAATATATTACATAAGGATGCATGAGGTTATTTTTCTCATATAATTAATACAAACGCTTAATAATATGATTAGTGATGTTATTATGATTTTATTTGTAACTGGGTTGATAAATTAATTGATGGGTGTGTAAGTGCAGGAGTTATATCGGGGGCTCTTTTGTATATCAGAGATGATTTCAAAGCAGTTGATAGGAAAACTTGGCTTCAGGTAATACCAATCTTACTTGACACCATTGATGAAGATTCAGTCTTTTCATGAATTCAAAACTCTTGTCAATTAAAACCTACTTTAATGGACTTTAACTTGCAAACATGTTCTCTGTTCACAGTCAACAACTTGCAGAAAAAAAACAAAAGCATGTTTTTCTATGTTTCAAACACTCACACATATAATCTCAACCAAATCTGTCCCAATTTATCCACAGATTAAATTTTTTATGCATAAAATAAGAAAAATAATAAATATGTTTTTTTTACATATAAGTTTGTCAAAGTAGCATCATACTCTTCCAAAATATATTAAATGAAGAATTACATATATAATTGGGATGATGAAATAATTAATATATTATGTAAGAATAAATTAAGGAAATAATAATAATATAGTAAAATTAAAATATTACTTAGTTTGACAGATTAGAAAAAGTAAAACAGTAAATAATTTGGGATGGAGGTAGTTTATATATATATATATATATATATATATATATATATATATATATATATATATATATATATATATATATATATATATATATATATATATATATATATATATATATATATATATATAAGTTTGTCTTTGAAGATCACTTTTCACTTTAACTAATCTTGAGGTAAATTATTTTTTGCATTCACGAAATTTAAGTCGAAAATTTTGTCTAAAAAGTTAAGATTTTGGTCACCAAGTTCGATCCAGTATGTGGTTGTAAATTTTTATTTGTTTTTTCTTTTATCAATTTTTATTCATAATTTACGGGGTAGCGTGAAAACAATAACTTAGTTTATTAGTAATATATATATATATATATATATATATATACATTTAATTTCTTTTTTAATATTTTAATGATAAATTTTAACAATTAAGATATTTTTTTGTTAAAAAAAATAATGTTGATTCAAGAACTTTTAAATTTCCTCATCCAGATTCACAGGATGAGATCCAGTTAATAAATATTGGATTAGTCTATGCATAATTACATTTATTACAATTTAGTTCTTATTATTAAACTAACCCAGTTTTTTAATTTCAACATTGAACTGTCATTAAAAGATTCGTTCCTTTCACCTTAGGGTGCTTTGGAAAATGCACCAACTACAAAACAGAAACATGGTCAGAATTAATAACAGTGGAAAAGCTGAAATAAAAAAAATGAAAACAATTTTTTCAAACTGATATTTAATTGAGGATTATCATGCGATTAAAAATTTTAATTTTTACAATACTTATTTTCAAAATCTTAGTCATTTTTAATTGATTGGTAGATTAAAAAAATTATATTAATAATAATATAGATACAGATATAAATATATGTGGCGATGTGTGCACATATAGAATATATGATATAATATGTAATAATAAAAATATAAAGGGTATCACCTGACAAATTGACAAGTGTGTTTTGTGTCCCAATCATGTGTTGGCTGAAGAAATGTTGGGTTGGTCCAGTGAGGGTGTTGGCCGAAAAAGCAAAGCAAAAAGCTGAAAAAAGACACCCAATCCTAATTATATTCTTAACCTGACAATTCTTTAAGAGAAAGGAGTAACTTGTGGTACACTTTAATTCTAAAATAACTCTATAGTTTAATAATTATATAAGAAAGGTCAGATTCTTTTTCTTTTCTTTTCTTTTCTTTGCTTTTTTTAATGTTATTTTTAACTTTAATTTCATGCTATAGTATGTGAATGAATTGGGTTGTGAGTAAATTTAACTGGGATGGAACAGAATGTAGCAGTTTCTGAGTTATGGTTCTTTGTTCTCAGACAAGTTTATGGTAATGTGAGTTTAAGTATGTATTCTCATTTTGTGTGAATTTGAACTGTGGAAAAATCTCAGGAAGCCATAGTGAGTACTGCAATTGCTGGAGCAATCATAGGGGCTTCAGTGGGAGGATGGATCAACGATCGATTTGGAAGAAAGATAGGAATTATTCTAGCAGATACCCTCTTTTTTGTTGGGTCTGTTATCATGGCTGCTGCTACCAGCCCAGCTATTCTCATTGTGGGTCGTGTATTTGTTGGCATTGGTGTTGGTATGGCTTCAATGGCATCACCCCTCTACATTTCAGAGGCTTCACCAACCAGAGTAAGAGGAGCCCTTGTGAGTCTTAACAGTTTTCTCATCACTGGAGGGCAATTTCTTTCCTACCTCATCAACTTGGCCTTCACCAAGGTGGGAAATTGTGCTATCACTTTTTCACTTCGTTCCAAATTTGTGATGTGTGAATATCATTCATGCCTGATCTATCTTTTCATCTGTGTAATTCCTTGAGTGTCTTTAAATCTGTTTTCTGATCATGATTTGGAGTTTGACCTCCGTAATTCTTGCAATAAAGAGGGTTTCTGATTGAAGAATAGTAATGAAAACATATAAGAAACTGCATCTAAATTTCTGTTCTGTATCTCTTTATTGGTAGTATTAGATTGGCCTTAGTTTAACCAGGAAAGAAATTGTCACAAAAAGGAAATTGAACATACATGAGAGAATGCTTTCCATTTGCATACAGAAGGTTAGTTTTGGAATTAAAATGAGGTGGATGCTTGAACTTTTGTCTTGGTGTTCTTTTGTTCGTCTATTATGGTAAATGAATTTGTGCATAATTTTTCATTCAGGCACCAGGGACATGGAGGTGGATGTTAGGGGTAGCAGCAGCACCAGCTTTGATACAAGTTATATTAATGTTGACACTCCCAGAATCACCTCGTTGGCTGTACCGCAAGGTTAGATCATCATCAACATCATCAGTGATCAATTGTAATTCACGTGTGAAACTGTAAATCTGAACTGTTGTTCCATTTTTGTTCCCACAGGGTAGGGAAGATGAAGCAAAAACAATTCTGAGAAAGATTTACCCGCCTCATGAAGTTGAAGGTGAAATTCAGGCTTTGAAGGAATCAGTTGATATGGAAATTAAGGAAGCAGAATCATCAGAGAAGGTTAGCCTAATGAAACTTTTGAGAACCACAGCTGTGAGAAGAGGCTTATATGCAGGCATGGGCCTTCTAATGTTCCAGCAGTTTGTGGGGATCAACACTGTGATGTACTACAGCCCCACCATTGTTCAGTTGGCGGGTTTTGCATCTAACAGAACAGCACTGCTTCTGTCACTCATCACTTCTGGCCTGAATGCATTTGGTTCAATTCTGAGCATATATTTCATTGACAAGACTGGGAGGAAAAAGCTTGCTCTGATAAGTTTGTGTGGTGTTGTGTTTTCCCTGGCTATGCTAACTATTACTTTTCGAGAAAGTGAAATTCACTCTCCAATGGTCAGTGCCATTCAAACATCTCAGTTCAACAACACATGTCCTGATTACAAAGCAGCTGTGAACCCTGCTCAATGGAGTTGCATGACATGCCTAAAGGCTTCACCATCTTGTGGTTTTTGTGCTGCTGATGACAAGGTAAATCTACTCCACCCCTTTTCATTTGACCAACCCCATGTTTCAAATTTGTGGTTCACAACATTCTTATCAATTATTGGGAAGGAATGGCTAGAAATCAAGTGATTTCAATTCCAATTGTTGACCACATAATGCATATAGCAGGATTTTGCATGTCAAGTTACCATCAATGATTGAGAGGGAAAGGAATGAAACAAGTTATTTCAATTCCAAATGTTGACACTACTATATATATGATTTTACATTTTATATTTATTGACACCACTTTCAATTAAATTTGCAGCTTTTACCTGGGGCATGTTTGATCTCCAATGATGACACAAAGAAGTTATGTGGTAGTGATCATAGGGCATGGTACACTAGAGGGTGTCCTAACAAATATGGTTGGGCTGCTTTAATAGGCCTTGCTCTTTACATCATTTCCTTCTCACCTGGGATGGGAACTGTTCCATGGGTTGTTAACTCTGAGATCTATCCCTTGAGGTATAGAGGAGTTTGTGCAGGAATAGCATCCACAACTGTTTGGATTTCCAACCTCATTGTTTCAGAATCCTTTTTGTCCTTGACACAAACTATTGGGACAGCATGGACATTCATGATGTTTGGAATTGTTTCCGTTGTGGCAATTTTCTTTGTCATTGTTTTTGTACCAGAGACCAAAGGGGTTCCAATGGAAGAAGTAGAGAAGATGCTGGAGCAAAGATCATTGCAGTTTAAGTTTTGGCAGAAGAGAGATTCTGGTTCTGAGAAACAGTGACTCAAACAAGTAGAAAAAAACCTTATTTGAGTCATGTTTAGCTGTTATTAAAGCACTAAATAGTGAATTAAGTGGCTTGTGAAGTATGATATTGCCAATGGTTTCTTTGGTTAAGATTTGTGATAGTTAGCATTTGAGCTCTAATGTGTATGTAGTTGATTAGTTGGGTTACTGAAAATCCTTATGAAATTCCTAGAGGATTTATAAACGCTCTTATTTATGAATTTTTATAAGAAATATTAAATTATTATGGATCGCTTTATTTTTTTTCTTGTCAATATTTCTTCTATTGTGAAACTTTCATATCAAGAATTTGATCTTCATACATGACCATTTTCTATTTGTCTTCTTTTTTCTCTTTTACACTAAACAATAACAACACAAGAAAATGTTTGAGAAAGTATTTTCCTACTATTAGAGCAAGAAAATAATTTTTCTGTTTTAAGAAATAAAGTGGTTGTCTGCTCTTTGTTTGTTGTTCTATTAAAGTCATAGTTTTGTAAACATAATTTTATAAAAAGTTTTTTTCTGTCTTAGACAGTTGTGTTCATCAATATACAAAGTGTTGTAGACTTTATTTGTTCTTTTGTATCATAACAATAATATGATATCAGATTAGAAATTACCTTTCTCGTTTTTGCATCTTTCTCTGCTGTCTTATTTTTCTCAACCATGACTCAGTTCAGCTAAAACACATCCACACCGAATCATATCATCAATCCGGTAAACCGTGAAAACCCAGTCATCATCCTTGTCTCCCCTTTATTGACAGAATATAACTTCCATCAGTGGTAGCGATGTTGGTGGCTCTTGAAACCAAGAAAAGGAAAGATTCATCAATGAAAGTCTTCCTTGTCCCATAATTAATGACCCTCTTCATGATGCTTGGTGACGCTGCAATCACATGATCATGTCCTGGTTGATACACTCCATGTCTCCACCAATCAAGTTGTATGTGATGTGGATGAATACTCGAGATTTGGAAAGATATGAAAGAAAGATTCTTGCATCCCGACAAATTTCGTATTGCTAATTTTAAATATCAAATTCAGATTTGTAAACAAAGTGATTCCAGTGTTTCTGAATACTATACAAGATTCAAAATTTGATGGAAAGAAATAGAATTGTATCCGTGTGTTCTTCTCTGTATATGCTCCAAAACCTGCTCTTGCGATCTGATTTCCAAGCTACACAAAGAACGAGATGATGATTGCATTATTCGATTATTACGAGGGTTAACTGATGGATCATATGTCTTCCATTGTCAAAATGTTTCTATAATTTTACAACATGAACGTGAATTCTTAAGTACCTCATCTTCTTCTACTATTCAAGATCTAGTGATTTTTTCTGTTAAATCTAGTGATTCATCTAAACCTTACAATAAAAATTTCATGGGGTCTCCAAGAATACAAATCTTGGTAAAATCAATGATAAAAATACCAAGTTCTGTGAGAAGTGTAAGAAAATAGAGGATTGGTTTTCCCATTGGTTCCAGAAGAACAAGTGAAGCAATTTCTTCTCGAGCCACTTCCTCTGCTAGTTTGACAGAAGTAGATCATGTTATTTCTTCACAATAATCCAATCTAGTTGAAGGCTTTACTCGTGACCAATTCAATTTCTCGAAGGAACAATATCATGCTCTCCTAGCTCTTCTCCAACAACCCAAAATTAATTCGGCTTATGTTAATCATACACAAAATGCTGTTGCATCTCCATCAGGTGATACTTCTTCCTTTTCTCAATGGATTTTGGACAGTGGTGCCACTAACCACATATGTCCATCCAAAATGCTTTTTAATTCCCTAAAACCTATCACACCTATACACACTAAATTGCCTCGTAATACCAATGTTATTGGTCATTTTTCTGGAAATATAACCCTTGGCAACTTAACTCTTTTCAATGTCCTATATGTACTAGAATATGTTGCTTACCTTATTTCAATTCAAAAACTTCTTTCACATACTGATTGCATGATCCTTTTTCATAATACAATTTGTTTAATCATGTAGAAATCCAAGTTTCGGATGATTGGTTGTAGCTAAGTATTACAATGGCTTGCTCTATCTTCAGCATTCTAATGACTTGAAATCCTATGGTTCACCTTCTCACACTGATGGTCTCATTTCCCAAACTGGTACTGCTATGTCTGTTGATATGCCCAAGTTATGGCATATTAGATTAGGTCACACCTCAAATAGAATTTTAAAATATTTATTTATCAAATATAATGACACTATTTTCGATTGTTTCCAGCCTTGTGACACATGTCATTTTGTCAAGTAAAAAAAATTATCTTTTCCTCGTAATAGTAGTAGAAGTTCTGAATTTGTGAACTAATTCATGTGGACATATGGGGTATGGTTGTCACTTCCTCTATTGATGGTTTGAAATATTTCTTAATAGTAGTAGATAACTTTATTCCTTTTACATGGATTCATTATAATTCAAATTTGATGTTAAATAATGTTGCTATCTTTCATTCATTTAATAGAAAACTAATTTACTTTGAAATTGAAGAAAGTTTCATTCGATAATGCAAAAGAGTTTATATTCAATGATTTTTTTTCTAATAAAGGTATTTTCCATGAAACTTTATGTGTTGAGACTCCTCAACAAAACAACATTGTTGAAAGAAAACATCAACACTTATTAAATGTTAGTTGTGTTTTATTATTTCAAGCTTATCTACCTACTTGTTTTTGGTCTTTTATCGTCAAACATGTCACTCGTCATCAATAGACTTCCAACCCCTTTTTTGAAGTTAAAATCTTCATATGAATTAGTACATGGACATCTTCCAAACTTAACTCAATTACTTGTTTTTGGTTGTTTGACTTTTTCTACTATTCTTCTTGCTAGCTGAACTAAATTTGATAAATTTTCTATCAAAACTATTTTTTTTAGGCTTTAAGCTTGACACCAAAGGCTCTATGCTATATGACATTGTCACCAAATCTTGGTTCATATCACGTACTATAATCTTTTATGAAAAACAATTCTCCTATGATACACATTTTCCCACAATACAAAATATACATATCAATAACATACCTGGCAATACCATTTTTTTGAAAATGAAAGTTTTGATTCTCACATACCTTCATAAACATCATGCACTGTAATATCCTGATAATCCTAATCAATCATGTCACCAGCATAACAATACTTCTCCTGCAATTAGTCATGAATCTGTTTCACAAGAACCAATCCAAGTCACTGAATGTCCTTTACGGATTTCACAAAGATCCAAGAAGCCACCTACTTACTTAGTTGATTACCATTGTCCAACACTTGCCTCATCTAATGCTACTATATGTACTCCTTATCCTTTACATTTATATCTTTCTTATTCACAATGTTCTAACCCTCGTATTGTTTTTTCTTTGTCCATCTCTGGTACACTTAGCCTACATCCTTTAAAGAAGTCAGTCAAATTGATTGTTGGCAGAAAGTTATGATTGCTAAGATAGAAGCTCTTGAGAGAAATAAGACTTGGTCATTAGTAAACCTTCCATTGGGAAAAAAAGTTGTGGGTTGTAGATGGATCTACCGTACCAAATTCAGAGCAGATGGTTCTATAGAACGACACAAAGCAAGGTTTGTGGCAAAGGTTTCACACAAACAGAGGGGGTTGATTTTTTTGAAACCTTTTCTCCTATAGTTAAACTAACTACTGTTCATTTATTCTCTACATTGCTATCTCATCTGGTTGGTTTTTACATCAACTAGATGTTGATAATGCTTTTCTACATGGAGAGCTGGATGAAGAGGTTTACATGAAGCCACCACCTGGTATGCAACTTCCTTCTCCAAAATTAGTTTGCAAACTTCACAAATCCTTATATGGATTACGATAAGCAAGTAGACAGTGGAATGATATACTCACCACTGCCTTACTCAAATTTGGATTCACTCAAAACATAACTGATTACTCCTTATTTGTGTAATAAACTCCTGATTCTTTTACTGTCCTCTTGATCTATGTCGATGACATAGTGATCACTGGTAATAATCTCACTACTCTCACACATATCAAATCTTATTTTCACAATCAATTCCACATTAAGGATCTTAGTGACTTGAAGTATTTCTTAGAATTTGAGGTTGCCCATTCTAAACATGGATTAACTATCAATCAACGAAAGTACTACCTTGACATTCTATATGAGTTTGGTTTAACTGATTGTAAACCTACCCCAACTCCCACCAATTCTTTAGTCGAACTAAATGACACTGATGGAGATCCTCTTACTGATTCAACTAATTATCGCAGATAAATTGAAAAGTTGTTGTACCTTACTCACACACAACCATACATAAGTTTTGTTGTGCAACATATCAGTCAGTTCATGGCATCACCTAAAAACTGTCATTTAAATGGTGTTTTTCAAATTCTACGATATCTAAAGAATGTCCTTGGACAAGGACTTTTCTATCCAGTTCAAAATTCTCACAGACTTTAAGTCTTCTCTAATTCAGATCGGGCCACCTGCTACATGTTGGGAATATTACTTTATTATCTTTTATTTAAATTAGGTATTAAGAGATTTTATTATATTTCAAGAGAGAAAGTAAAAATAAATTAGGTTATTATTTTGATCTAGGCAGTTATCATTGAGATATTATTGGTATTTGATATTTTGTAATATTTTTACTCTATATATACATAGACTACATGAATAAAAACACACATACATAAAACCCTAAAAATTCCCATAAGTAGTATCAAGAGCTTTGGTTCGATACAATGAAAGGAGAAAGAAACTTTGCACAAGTCATTATTCCAATTTTTTATGGCGAAAATTATGACTTATGGGTTGTGAGAATGCAATCTTATCTTAAAGGATTGAATGTATGAGAAGCTATGAAAGAATATTATATTATTGGTGTTTGCTGTTGTTTCACAAATGATCCTCACCAGAATCATGACGTTAAAGTCACACAAAAAAAATTTGGGATTATTTGAAAGATCAATATGAAGGAGATGAGAAAAT